CGGTGTCTGTGCCCTCACGTACGACGTGTTCCCGCGTATTCCCTCTGCTCGCCGCACTGTGTCTCTCTATCGTACCACGGTCGACATCATAAAAAGGAGGTCTATAGTTCCAATGTTTTCTGTGGTTCCTCTCGATTTTCCTCTCACTGTAGGTCGTATTCGCACCTTTTCCAAAAGGAATGACATACGAATTCGATCATCACCTGGGCGGTGTCCATAACATCCCCAACCAAGGTCAACCGTCGCGTTCGAGCATTTCCGAAGTTTTGCCCCCTTCTAGGAGGCCTTGACGCGACCCCATACCACCACCATCAGCCTCCTAAGGCTCCCTACATGCGACATCCCTCCCCTACCCCGACCACCACCCTCATCATCATGTCTGTTTCCATGGTATTTGATTCTGAGACCAGTCGACACGCCACACCCATTTCTTCCTCCAAAACAGCCGTCAAGCGGGAGTGGGAGAGAGTTGAATGACTATCGGGGAAATTTCATCAATTTCGTCTAGTTTACCAACTCGTGAAGCGAAACCCGTCAAATTCCACCAAGTTCGATCTCCTTTTTACTGCCCGCGTTCACACTTGGCCCACTTTTCTCAGAGGTAGGCACCATTGCTTAACAATACGACCCCCTTTCCAAAATCAACCACAAATGCGACCCCCTCGTTCGAATATTGCGAACGGACGGATGACCCTTTCCCTAAGTATTTGACGATTTCTGCGATTTCGAGCCATTTGCGGTGACGCCAACTAGATTTTCAGTTTGCCAGGAAGAGAAACGTTTTCGTCGATCTCTTGACTCCAAAGCGAAGTCAAAATGTGACGATCACATTGAAACAGTTTAAAGTAAGTTGTCAGAACCTTTCGACCTTCAGAATGGCATCGACGGGGCTCAAACACTTGATCTGATCGCCTTTTTATAGGATTTGGATGCACTGATCTCAGATCTACACGAAAACAATGTGGGACGCTTTGATGTGGAGGTTTTACGGACGTTGAGGTCAATTCTTCCGGATTCTGAAGAGGTACGGTAGGCGATTTTCTCGACTGTCCATTTACCTTTTATAAATGAAGGAAGGTTAAATTTGACTGAAATTTCTTCAGGTGAAAGGCATTGAGACGCGTACATGGTGGTGTTCCTCAGCTTGCTCCGCTGTGCGTTCTTCCTTCGACTGCTGGATATTCCCGACTATCGTTTGAGGTAATTTTTCGCCGCCTACGGGGGAACCATCGGGAGAGGTTCCATTCAAATTCCGCGAATCTTCAGGATTGACTGCATGGATCCTGCGGTTGGAATTTCATCGAATCATGGAGAGTGGTCGGCATCATTTCTTCAAATGCTGCTACAGGTAGGTATCTTTCATTAAAAGCCCTAGCGCGATTGAGACTGGGTAATTAGTCCTTCCGTGAGTAGGATGAACTGCCACTTCGAAGGTTGGTGCTACGTCACCTCCGCGCGCGAGGAGTGTGCAGGGGTGTTAAAGCATTGTCATCCTTGCGATGCTATGGTATAGACAATAGAAAAACTGTCTCCAGGGCGAAGACCAACGAGGATGTCTTTTGGGATATCGGGCGGGTCGAACTTCAGTTTTTTTGGTGGCCGTTATTGTTGTGGGGGTGAAAGGTGAATTTCCAGTGAATGACGGCCTGTCGCAAAGGCCGATGTGCATGGTTGCGAATGTCGAGCGAGGCGCTGGATCGGCGTGCGCCAGCGAGTAGAACGATTGTACAAGGCGAGTCAACTAGGGCACCAGCGACTAAACATGTGGGGGACCTCAACGTTTTAAGGAAGCTTGCACTTTTTCAAAACAGGTGTGCCGGGCGCAAAGCCCGCCACTTTCAAACAGCGTCCACTGTCACGTGACACTGTTTGAAAGTGGCGGGCTTCCTTTAAACGTTGGGTCCCGCCACTATTGAGTCGCTGGTACCTAGTTCGACTCGCTGGTACATCGTTCGACTCGCTGGCGCAAAGTTCGATTCGCTGGTGCAACGTTCGATTCGCTGGCGCAACGCTCGGATCGAGCGATTCGCTAGCGAATCGCTCGATTCGCAAACTATGACATCGGCCTAAGCGATAAAGGGCGAGGCGCAACGGGGTCAACGGACGAGTCGCAGCGGTAGTGGCGGTGGTGCTCGCGTGTCAATTTACCAGGAGCGGCGACCTGTCATATCACATCACCCAAAACCAGGGAAAAACGCGTGTGAGGTGCGTCTGCGACTCCGCTTCTCGCTCGTGACGGGCTTGACTGGTCAGGGACCCATTTTTCGCAATATCCGATGATGCGCATTAATTACACTAGTGGGGTTTGTGCTCTCTCCTTTCAAAAATCTCATTGGTTGGCCCCATTTTAATGTAGTTCGCCGTACCAGAGGATCGGCTGACTAATGATACTACTCCAGGGGCGGGCCACAATCCCGCCCATACGGCTTGTGAGCTATGTGGTTTGGAGGGTTAGCGAATTACGTTTTTTCGCAATCCTTAGACTGAGTATCACACCTACGTCCTTTTTGAGCTCACTCATACCTACTATTCTATTGCGAAATATGTCTTGAAAAAGAATCATAACTAAGCAACACTGCGTAATTAACTATGAGGAACTTTAGAGCTTCGACAATCGCATGCTCTTCGTCGGCTTCTGTTATTGCTGGTGAATATCGGGAACTATCTCAACAGCTCGTCAACCCATGGAAATGCTGCTGGATTCAAATTGAGCTCCTTGTGGCAGGTGATAGACCACAGGGCCACTAAAGGGTCCTCATCGCTTTTGCATCTCCTTGCTAAGGTAATGATTAAACCCAGAGTCTAGAGGGAATTTGAGCTTCATCAATAGGGGCTCTGTTTTTTAGATGGATCCTGCCTTGCTATCCGATCTCGAACAAGAGCTGCCTAACATCAACAGGGCTTCAGAGTGAGTATATCTATCTGTAATACTCATGAGTACGTTTGTAAAACTCATATGTGGTATCACATAGTTTACAGTGGAACGGGCATGTGCCAACGCCGCGCGCGAAAACGCCGCGTGCGATAAAAATAGCCGCAGATGCCGCAGGCCCTTCAAGTCTAGCAAGGAGCGACAAGTCGGAATTGGCAAAGAAGTGACATAAAAATGAGGAGGAGCAGAGCAATCAAAAAGACCGTACCCAAACATAACCCGGCCTAGCCGGGTTAAGTTTGCCGGAGCCCAACCCAATCCTCCCTGACCCCAACATAACCCTTTGAGCCATCAATCTTTACATGATACATAACCCGGCCCAAGGCACTGAATATGATGATTAGGAACGGAGCGCTTCTGGCGATGTCACTGGACACCAATTGTCGACCAGATTTTTGGGTGTGGTTAAGGCCTGCTCACGCACTTCAAACCGTTGGCGCTCAATGACGTCATCAAAACCGCTCCGCCTTCCAGCCATCCTGTTCGCTGCTTGTGGCGATGGCCCTTTCTCCACTTCTTCAATTCCCTGAGAATGAGATGGCCTGACCTCAGCACAATGACCGGCGCTAAGTCATGGCAGCCATGTCGCTCCACTCGCAAAATGCCCGACTGAATAAGGCCGCCCTACCTGTCGCGAATGTTGACCGTGAACGACGCACGGCGCATACTCGTTAGAGGCGGATGATGAAAAGACAGCTCATTAAAAAAGGGTAGAGGTGGTTCATGGCGTAGGGATGAAGAAAAACCATGAGAAACGGCCAGAACCCGAGAAATGGGACCCTTCTTTGCCTTTTTCGCATTGATGCGACTCTCATCGGTGCTGCCCTCTTCAACGCTAACGCTCTCTCTGCTAACGGCTAGAGTCAGACGGCGAGAGGGTAGGGCGGCGGCGGCGCGATAGCCCGGCCGCGAAGGGGATCACCCAGACGCTATTGCCTAGAGGAAGCTGTAAAGCCCACTCATGTACTTGCTTGAGGCTTGGCCCTGAATTCCAAAGGGAAAGTAAATGTTTACAACTGTTCCAAAATTACCACGCACAAGTGTCCCCCGTATCTTGTGCATAGCAGCCCAAGAATGTTTAGTTCACACTTCATTCAGGGCAGGCCCCTTAAACACAAACTTAACAAGTAATGAACATTCCGTTACAAGAGGAAGAGCAGTCAAATGGCGACGCCTGTTTTTATCAAATAAAAGTTATAGGAAAATGAAAACATCAGTCAAGCAGTTACGCGGACATAACAATAACTTTCCGTGTTGAACAGTTTGGCAGTAAGCCCAAGAAATGTCCACTCAATTTTAATAATTATTACCTTAATAACAATAAATCTGTTAACCTAATTGGAAGCGCCCACCGCGTTTTATTTCTTTTTTCAGGGTGCTCTCTGGAGGAACTCAAACACTAATTGCTGCGATCAATCTCGGTAGAGCCAATGTACTCTCAGTCCTGCCAGCAATCCAGCTTGCACAGACGAACAAGACAGCGAATCGACACATTCGCGATTACCTCGCGTCAGTCACTCTTAGGTACGGCCCAGGCAGGCCCGGTCGCGAGCCGGCCAGCACAGGTAAAGTCAGCGACGATCGCGGCGGCGTGCTATGTGGGGAAGGTTCTGCGTCAACTTAATACAGCTGCAGACGGGTCCTATCAGTTCTAGCACACGCCCATTCAACGCCCCCCTGACAACTGCCGCCCCGCCCGACTCTCGCCCTTCTTGCGCGCGACGGGCCCCTGGGGGGGTACCCGTCATCCCTCATCGCGTAAGTCAGGGATTGCTTGCTGCTAAACTTAGTTGGGCGGGGGGACGCACTCAGCCCGGCGGCGGCTCCGCGCTCCACTGTTCGTCTGCTCCTCTAAGGCTTAGTCCAAGGGGCAGTTACTATTTCGTCGCCACGTGGCAGTTTCGAAATACGCGCCATCGGCGGACTCTAGCCTTGGAGGAGCAGACGAACAGAGCGCCGCGCCGCCGCGTGGTCCCCCCCAACTAAGTTAGCACCGATGATTTTCGAACCTGTTCCCTTTTCCGTCGACCTGTGGGGTACTTTTGCCAGCACCCAAAGAACAACCGTTCCTACTCTGAGAAAACGGACCTTTTCAGGGAGCACTGCCACGTAGAACTGGCGGAAACTAACAAGTCACTGATGGAGCTTCTGAAAATCCAAGATGATCTAGCGTTGTTTTTCTGTGAAAACAAGGGCACATTCAAGATTGAGGAATGCTTTAAGATCTTCAAAATTTTACTCGTACGTCTTCGACAGGCACTACAGGACTATGCTCTGTTAGCTTTTCCGCATTTCCCATGAGAACACCAATTCCCGATTGGAGTGAAGAAGTTAGGGGGGAGCACATCAGCGGACATACACACGTGGTAAAAAATCAAGAAAAAATTGTCGAAATGACTTGAATCCCTGCGAGCAAGATCTTCCATCTCAAATCGGCAGCGTAACCTTCCCTTCAAAAAGTGAGAAAGTGTCGGGTGCAGAACAAACACCACAAACTGACGACGGCCTCCGAGCAGAGTCGGTGTATATGTAATGTAATTACATGCTAGCGGAACAAGTACCAACCCGGCCCCCCCACGGCACGAACTTCAACAAAACATAAGACGCAGGACCCCCCCCCCCTTCGGTTGTACTCGTTTTTTTTATTTCGGGGGGGGTTTTACCAACGTAGGGTCTGCCCTCGGCTGCGAAGTATGAACTCTGTTGACCGTTGTTCATGGTGATAACGCTATTTCCTGGTATAATGAGAGTCGTATATTCAGCTGACAATGGCAGCAAAGCTGCCTGCGAGGGGGGTTAGACCCCGCTCGCGATCTCTGCTCGTCACGCCCTGAGTGACTAAGGCCTAAGAAATGGCGGTCAGACACTTTGCGGCGATGAAACTTTTGGATTGATCCTGGAGTTCTCCACCCCCTGCCCCAAAGGAGACCCAATTTAGGTGAAGAGGGCGAAACGCTTATACAGAAAAACGCAGAGACAGGTGTGTAGCGCGGGGCGCGATCTGGCCCCCTCAACACATCTGCTGCGCCAGTGACAATCGATAGAATACAACTGCAACAGGCTAATCATTTCATTGGCAGAAAACATTACATTTTGTGAAGGCCGTCGTCACTTGTGGTGCATGGTCTGCACCCGACACTTTCTCGCTTTTTGAAGGGAGAGGTAGGTCTCCATAAAGCCACTGCGTAAAACTTCAACACAAAATCTCCATAATATTTCACCTTACTGTGTCACTTTCAAAATGGATAAAAATGTTTTTTAAATCTAATCTAATATAACACTACCTTAGGAAAACGAGGAGAAGGAAAAGCGCCTCTCTCGAAAACAAAGGTCGAAAACAGTTGATGAGACCATCCTGGAGAGGAAAGAGGGAGAAGCTGACGAGGATCCCAACAAAGAGAAATTCTTGGCACTCTCGAGAAAGGTCAAAAGCTCTAGTAAGTTTTCTCGTTGCGAAGTCTGATGGAAAAGTGTTTACTAGTATCGAGCTTTCAGTAATCGTAAGCGGTTAGCCGTTCGTTCCACTGATATGGCACGAGAACGTGAACTACAGAAAAACACAAGGGTTCGTCGACTGAAGGAGATTGGCCAGAGCGAAACACTTCCTGTGGAGATTCACAGTGAGGTGGGTCCATTTTACGAGCGACACTTGGGGCTTTTCCAAGGCAAACCGTGCTTTTTTCAGAACGTACTTCTGCATACTGTAGGGACCACAGAATCATGTTTCGTTTCTACTAAATGGTTCTAGTTAGTATCAAAAAGTAGTGCAAAATAGTGTTAATGGTTCGATCCCCGGTCCCGTCAAAATTTTGCATTCAAATTGGTGGCTACTTCTTGGCGGGGGAGAGAAAAGCTCGCTGGCGGCGCGGACGCGAGCGCGTGCTGGTGACGTCAAAATGACGTCGTAGCCCACAGCAGCCCGAGATCAAATAAAACTGCCTGTCCTGGCAGGGTCGGTCCTATCGTTGCTACTTTCAAAAAGTTTTTACGACCCCCCTCCCTCATGAAATGTTTCATACGACCCCTCTTTCAAAAACAATTTTACCCAAAAATTACCGTCGAGGGGCGGAAGTGGTGTAGTGACAAGTGGCGCGCTCACCACGCGAGCGGTCCGGGATCAAATCCTGGGTCGTGAGTCGCCCGGGCCAACCAAGCCTTCCATCCCTCCGGGGTCGGTTAATTGGTACCAGACTTGTCTGGGAGGATAAAAACACTGACTTGTACATCGGCTGGCCCCCGCAAGTCATTGTATAGGCCACATCGCATTCAAACGCCACTACGAATGTACAAATGGAAGTAGAATGCGTGCCGCATCCCAAAAAGGGATTGATCAACGGCAAATGCTTTATCCTTTATCCTTTATTAGTCGAGGCGAAGTGGAGGGTGTGGAGGCAGGCGGCGTAACTTCGTACGCGTGACGAACGCCCCACCCCCTACAAACTCACCAAAATACGACCCCCCCCCGTTGCTACTTGTAGCAACATAGGGTTGACCCTGGTTCTTGCTGCAGGCTTGTTCGATCCAGTTGCGCATTTTGCTATAGATACCATCCTTGAACCAGAAATTGGAATTTCGGGAAATGTAGGGGAAGTCGAGGTTTTCGTGTGCAAGACGCTCACAGTACACAGTCAAGTTGAGCTTGCATGAACCAAGTCCGTTCTTCGAGTTCGATTATACAATTAATCAAGAGCACGAGAGATGTTCGAAATACATAAAGAATTCAAATATTGGTGACAGAGCTAGCTTGCTCGCTCCCTTGCCACCGTTGTGACGTCACCAACACGCGAACGCGTCCGCGGCGCCGGTGAGTTTTTCCATGGAGCCACTCGTTGACCTCAACATGGTCCTAACTATGAATATGACATCTGATTTGGACATTTAGTGCCATTTGGCAACAACTGTAGGTTGCTCTGAGTCCAGTCGCTCGCTCTCGCACTCAGAAAAGCCATTTTTGTACCACCCATAAATTTGGAACTTGGCCAGATTTTTTCCTAATCAGGTTCTTCCCGCGAAATCTTCTGCTTCGCCATCGCCACTACGAACTTCGGTATGGCCTAGAACTCTCTTTTTATCTATATTTCAGCTTTATGTTTGCAGCAGTCCTCTCCTCGAATCGTTCGCCGTTCTGGCGCCATTTCGAGTGTGGCCTCTGCAGCGCCTGCAGATCATCAAGCCATTATTTTGAACATTCCTCCAGAATCCGGTGAGTGGACGTTGCCTTTTGTTATCATCGGTGACTTTGGAAGGGGGCAAAAAATCTTTTTCGAAGCATGTGCACATGTAGTTGGGCATCTGACATGAGGCTCGTCGCGCCACGAGAAGGGAGAGACGCAGACCGGTCAGCGAACGACTTTCAGCGCTTTTATGTGAGATGGGACGTATACAGTACATTCTATTCAACTTGACGCAAATACTGTAGTACGCGCGTGACTCATCCGCTCACCGTCTGCGTTTCTGCCTCTCGCCATGCGACGGGCCTCCTGTCGGGTACCCTATGTAGCTCCTGAAACAGGGATGAATTGGCACAAACTACACACTGCGCAACTGCGGCCGCATATGTATAAAAAAGGCATATGTCCGTGCACGGTGAATGTAATCGGTATCGATGGAGTGTCCTGCCCCTGTTCTTCTCACATCAGCCGGTGCGACCCTCTAAGTTAACTACGAAGACGGCTACGTGACATCGTATTCAAAGGGATTTTATATGTGATATACATAGAACAGAGCAGAGTATCTAAAGGCATGGGTCGCGATTAGATCCCCATAGCAATCCTCTTCTTGAGCAAGGCAGTAGGATCCCTGATCACAGATTGTGAAACTTTCGCAACTCAAAAGTGCGTGACGAGGGAGCTAACACCCTTGTTTTACCGCTGCAACCGCTGCCATCCTTGTCAATAACGGCATACGTGGTGTTCTGCACCCTCTCGCGTACGACGTGCTCTCTCGCGTTCCCCTCTCCTCGCAGCGCTATGTCTCTCCGTCATACCACGGCCGATCTCACAAAGGGAATTTCGGTGTTTCTACGATGCTTCTTGCTTTTTTCCCTGCTAACGCTAATGGCACTTCTTTTTCTAATTTTCGGTCCAGATAACACACCAATTCGATTCAAATCGTGCCTTGTAAGGTAGGATACTGAAAAACGAAATGTTGTCTCTCTGCTGAACAATCTGACGATGCTCCGCTTAGAGTTTCTTGTGATTACCTCCAGGAGCTCACCGTACTATTCGGGACCCTGTCCCAAAATTACATTTAGTTCATTTGGTGCTCGCGCAGGTTCTTCGATGCGATTCGCAGTTGCGTGCTCGTGTCGTAAGCTTATTGAACACCTTACCTAACGAGTTTAAGGAAGCGAAACTGAAGCCCCAATTAAGTAAATGGAGGAAGAATCTCACCTAACGAGTTTAAAAGGAAGTGAAATTTGAGGGAAGCCCAATAAGTAGAGAGAATCTCAAGAAAGAGTTAAGGGAAAAAAAGAAATAAGCTCTGATAGCTACAACTCAGCATTTTTCAGGCTTACAGTCTCGATGAGTGCCGGGACTGCACACTGGGGATGGGCTGATGCTGTCGAAGGGATCCTAAGAAGTGCCACAAGTGAAATAAAAATTCGCATTGCAGAAACATCAACTCATTTCGGCGAGAATCGTCTCCAAAGAGCAACCTCTGGATTAAGGCTTTGAGTCTGAAAAGGACAAGGAGAATAGTAATGTGAGTGACTTTGAGGGTTCTTGTCAAAATAGCTCCATCTCGAAATCTCATCATCCACAGGTACCTTCACCCTCACCAGCGACCATTACTCCACCCAGCTCTAAGAGGACACCAAGGACTCCAGAGAAAGTAAGTTTCCTATGGACGTTCAAAAATTCATTTACAACACGGAGTGAACCGGCAGACGTGTTGGCTCACCAGAATACTTTTTGGCTCCAATAAATTACTGATTTAAAGCAACAGTCCAGGCAGGGTTTCAACTACTTGGTCATTAGGCGGTCAAAACATGCCCCAGCCCAACTAAAGTTTATAGGAAATGTCTTTAATTTCAAAACCTACCTCTAAAATGCGCTGGAAGGGGTCGAAGTCCTCTTGGAGGGGGCGGATCACCCATAAAGAGGCGGATCGCCCAACATTCGCTGTGCAGAGCGCTTGCTCGACTAGCGGTCGTTGCGGGACCGCCGCGCTGTATGAGGTCGATTCCATAAGAACCCAATTGAAGCGCTTCAATTTCGATTGCTGGCAAATAGTTATGTATTTGCAAGCATGCATGGCTATTTGCCAGCAGTCAACTGGAGCGCATGTACTACGGGCAG